GCAGTTATAATGACAATAATGCCAACAACAATGACCTTAAAGAGGTTTGTTTCATTTGCTCAACACTGCTCCTAGCTTGATATGTTTTGTAATGATCATTGCAAGTGCAAATTAAATAAATCTGAATACACAGTGAAAGATTTCTTAAATGTCCTTAAGTTTTACAGTGCATGAAATACATGACTTTGGTTAAAACACAATCAGAAGTGATTCATACTTTTTTGGTGAAGCTGTCGCCAGAGGTTGCATCAGCCAAAGCTCGACCAGTGATTCTGCCTTGTAAAAGACTGTCGACAGAGTTGACGAAACTGGACTTGCCAGAACCAGTCGGTCCATAAAGCAGAATTCTGAGCTGTTTGAGGTCTTCATTATGAGGCTGATAATCCTCCACATACTGAAGGTCTCTCTCTTTGTGGCTGTTCAATAAAGAGGTAATATTTTACTGCTTGGTTGTCACAGACACCCACAACTGACAACAAGAATGACATCACAAATCAGCCTCAAAACCAAAGTGTATAATTTGTTGCGCACTCACCCCCATGGTATTTTCCTCCATTCTTCAATAAGAGCTGTACATGTTGATGTAATATAGAAGAATATTTTAAGTAAATAAATCACCACAATTGAGAAGGCCTTATTGTTTCCATAATGTGAATAAACAATGTATGTAATATTTATAATATCTTACTCTCAGGAGAGGGTGGGCGGGGTTCTGATTTGGACCATTTGAACATACCTACAATAGAATATTAAGCAAACATGTAAACAAGAAAAAAAATTTCCATATGAACTGCATTATTTATTGCCTAAAACCAAAGATTTCAGAGTATCTATTTGTAAATTCAGATTTGTTGCAGCTTATCATAGGTAAAACTGACCGACTCAGTGTTATTCTTTGAGTCTTCAATAATTCTATTAAATTAAAATTGCAGAATATATACAATAAATTGTGATCAAAAGAGAAAGTGAAAGTACAAAGGTAAGCGAACAAAAAATGAAAACATGGACATGCATTTTTCACTTTCTGTTACATTTTGCAAAGTTTTGGACCCAAATGCAGACACAGACTCAGGAGTAAGATGAATTTAAAGGGTTTACTGGAAACGTAGTGGGGTATGGAGGTAGCTGAAGCAGGGCGGAGAGGAATGACTTGGCTTACTGGATGTGGCTGGTGGATATCTGATTGAAAGTTGGCAAGCAGACAGTTCAGGTGTGGTCTTGGAGCACAAAAGGAGACGGTTAGGCAGTAGTACAACAACAAACTAAGAAAATGAGAATCTTAGGACACAAGCAGAGACTGTTGTGGATACTACCACTGTTGACTGAATGAGCTGGTACTGGTTGATTGTATTTGGGATTGAAATACTAAGCTGATGAGCAAATGCAGGCCAGATTAGCCAGGTGGGAGTTGTAGACTGCAGTGCACAGGAGCAAAGTTGGGAGCCAAGAGGGAACAGACATACACAGGAGCATACAATACAGAAGAACACAGGAAACACAGAGGAAGGGGAAACACAATGGAAAATGTACAGATTATAAATTGCCTCACAAATACAAATACTTCATCAAAATTTTAGAGAAATTGCAAACCCAAGATAGAATTAAATACTGGTTTTAAAAATCATCCGAAAATGAGGTACAGTAGGTTAAAAAAATGCATTACTTAATCCAGACACATTTGACTTCTTAATCAGTAAAAATAAATTTGTTAAATATTTATACTTTATATATTTAAAAAAAAAACTCACTTCAAGAGTTGTGCCCGTGGAAAGAAGCGGTGATGGTTTACCTCAAGTAACGATCCTGAAATTGAGTAATTTATCTCAAAATTTATTTTTTAAATTGGCATCATATAACTTTACCACAGTTTCTTGTGCCAAAATTAAAATAGTTAATAATCATTAAACTTCTAAAATTCTAAACTACTGAACTTGAAAGACATACCTCCCGTCGTAGTTGTTGATGTCTGTCTTTTTATCATTTGAGGCCAACTATTTATTTGTTTTAACATACTTTCGGTTTCTTTTGTGCCATGTGACATGTGAAAGAATGTGCCCTTCATATGGGAACTAAGGGTGTGTTCAGTTGTCTAACACGTAACTGCTGCTTAATTTGTCTCATTGCTTTTGTTGAAAAAATGTTTCCTAGTTCACTAACACTTAAAGTGCTTTCACCTGTTACATATTAAATTGTTTTACTCAAGTACTTTTTTATTCTTCAGCTGACAGTTCACCTACCTCTCTCATTCATCAAATGACAGTTCAACTGGTTTCAGTTTATCTCTTTTCAGTGTTTTCATTACACTCCAACTGACATCTTGATTTCTTTTAACTTTTACACTTAGCTGAAGTTCAGCATGTCCACTTACAGCTTATTTCAGTAATTGCATTTTAACATCAACTTTAACAAATGTTTGAACTGTGAATTTTCAGAAAGCACTCTAATTTTTTTATTTGTGGATTATGGTACTATAGTATGTGTCGCACACAGGATACACAGAGGATGACTTCAAAACAAAAGCACATTTACTCCTTTCTGCAGAATTTTACTGGATATTAGAAATCTGTATGACTAATTCTTAAGTGGACCAAAAGTAAATCAAGTTTTAGTGAACAATTTGATCATAAGCTCTCATCTCCCTTCTCATCTACATGCCGCTTCAGCCAAGTTATGATGGAGGTTATTTCTGTGTAGTTACAGACCAGCTCAAGAGGCACGTTCTCATGTATGTATTTGCCTGATTTTTTATTAGACTGCATTGAAATTCAACAGGCTACATATTATCGTTATTTAACAATAAAGGTTAGGACTACTGCCATTCAGTTAAGTAGCCTACTGTTATTATTTTAACATTGACCATTTTATTCATATCATATTGTTACATTTATATGATATTAATCCAAATTTCAACATATTAATATAAACAACATAAAAAAACTTTCAGCTGTACCCGTGGAAATAAGTGCTGATTGTATAGCTCAAGTACTGATTCCAAAATTGAGAAATTATCATTTTTAAAAACAGTTTCAAACATTGACACAGAATATGCTGTTGGAACAACAGATACAGAATATGTAACCAAAAGTCTGAATAAGTTTAACTTTTCAACACATGCTGATCACCAGATTCATGATTATTGAGCAAGTACAACACCAGAAATGTCCACAACAAATCAACAAACCTAACCATAGCTAAAAAAGCAATAATGCAAAAACTAAACTGCATGATGAGAATAATACAAGTCTGCTTTATGCACATGCAGGTTTTAAGCCTATATACATATTTTATTTAGCAAGGTAAAATACAGAACATGTATTAAGATGACATATAGTAGATACTATATGCATTACATGCTTGCAAATGAAAACCAAATAGCGATACTTTATTTGATTTATTTCTACACATTCCTGTTTGCAAATTTGCTTTGTTCAGGCTATGATAAAGCAAGATTTTCCTCTGCAGCATGTAGGTCTACAGGTTGTTGACAAAGTCTTCTCCAGAGTTAATCATCTGTCTCAGTGTGCTCAGTATC